AATTTAATTTTGCTATTAAATTAAAGACATTAGTTCCATATTTCAAGCCGGTATGTACACGGCTATCATCCGCGCCTATACAAGAATCCACCGGATTATATCCCAGCGGATTGATTATCTGTACTATATATATATATATATATATATATATATATATATAGAGAGAGAGAGAGAGAGAGTAAAGTATGTCTTACACAATCATATCAGACGGTTATCAGGCGTCTGATTGAATCCTATCAATAAGAAAATGGAAATGATGTCCACAGCTGAGAAGTGCGAGAGAAGAAACTATTAGAATAGAACTTACGGTTACATCTAGCTATTTCAATAGTAAAACAATGAGACCTAATTGTCAATCTAGTAGTACGATTAAATTCCTGCGTTCGAGGTACAATTTCTACAAAAAAACATTTATAGAAAAGACAGATTGACACTACGTCATGGTGATGGGAAAGTCATTGAAGTCAAGATGCCAGGTTACGAATAATACCGCTCAAAACCCCTTCTTTCGATTTTATCTGATTCATACGGAATACTGTTTTTAAACCGATGTTACCTGACATTATATTTGCTGTTATCATTAATGATACTTTTCTGTTATTTTTTTTATTTTAGCGCTAACATTGTGCCAAGAATTTTGAGTGAATATTATCATAGCAATGGTATGCAGCTGGAGTATATTTTAAACAATATCCATGTCCCTGATCCCTGGACTGAAAAACGTATTTATTTACGATGAATCACCCGAAGATCGCCTAATGGGAGTCGCGGTTAATTTTATTCTTAATTAGTTTTTAAGCGTACCAGCCTTGCTCACAACAAATTATATGCATTCTCTTAGACGCCCTGCCCACTCAACATAGTTACAAGTGGGTTATGTCGGTATTGAACAAACATATGTACCTGAGCTGATTGGTTAGCCACCCTTACAGACAGGTGTGCGCTGAAACAAGTAGTAAGATTTTTTAAGCATTTCATCCCAAGCAAGGTGGGGATGCCACTAGTACACAAGAGGTTACAGAGAGTGGGAGCGAGAGTAAAAAGGTGTGATAGTGGAAAGGATGATGAGAAGGACGGGGATTAGATCAAGGCATTTGGAGATGTCGATTGATATTACATTAGAATAGTTGGAGATTATAGCTATCAGGGAAACAAGTAATAGGAAGGGAATTCCACAGACGGGAGGTGCGAGACATGAAGCTATTGGAGTAGAAGAAACGGCCACATTTAACCGTTTTGACAGTGAAAGGGTGGGGTCAAGATGGCAGCCTTGTAGCATGTTAAAATTCATGCAGTTTAGGAACCAGCGAAAGTAGCTCTTCGGAGCAGTTACCGTGAAAGTATATGTAGAAAAGACAGAGGGGGTCGACGGCACATCTGTGTGAGAGTGACTGTAGACGAGATGCCAGATCAGAGCCAATCGCATTGCATATTCGTCTCTGGAGCTTGTCGAAGACCTTAAGGCGAACAGCGGGTTCTCCAGACCATATATGACAGCAATATTTCATGCAAGGGCGAATGGTTGATTGATAGATTTGAAGGATAGACTCGCCCGAGAAAAACTATATATATATTTTTAAAGCAACGACAAAATATTTATATAGGAATAATACAAATTATCAAGAATAAACTGCTCAGTATATTTAACTGAGCTAAGCAAAATTTCAAAGTTCAATAGTGTTAACTGAGTAAATATAATGTTCCTTCAAAAAGGTTTTTGGTACAGAATTTTACAATCCAAAACTAAGAGTTGTTTACCCTTAACTATAAATTTAATTATTTGAAAACTTTTTTTTTACAAACTGAAAATAAACATTTATTGAAACAAAGCAAGTTCAGTTGACCATTGATGACAATTCCAGAAGCTATAAACAATTTTTTCTATCCTCTGCCAGCCGCAATGATGGAGAAAGCATTACCTCGAACCATCGCCAATGAGAAACGCTGCAAGAGGCAATTCGTTTCACGAGGCTCGTTCCTTAATCGAGACGAATTCGCACCAATCCTTCGAAGGAACGCCATCGAACGAGGGCCAATAACCCTGAAGTCTCCACTGCCACAGGAGTAAAAAAAATCAGCAAGAGAAGAATATTTAACTATTTTTTTCATCTCTGCGTCCCGAGCGACGGATCTCGACGGATCCCGGCTCAACTGCAGAACTGATCAAATTACTGGTCGAAAATGTATCCGCATCCCAAATCAACGACTTACCCATTTTAAAAGGGAAAATTGTAATGCCATCCGGCCACATTCCATCCCCACGGTCGAGAAGGCCCGAGGGCTACACGAGGTAGAGAGCTGTACGGATTGGAGGGGAAGATAACGTTTAATCCTAGCCTTGAACAGGTTAAGATTGTAGTGATTGGGGAAGTATCATATTTAAAGTCGGTTACCCAATGATTCTGTTCGCGGGAAGAAACTCTTCGAGTGGAAATTACTTCTCACCAATGGAATATGGAGGGAATGTGGGTGGGGTTTGCTACTATGTAACTGGAATGGCGGGTGCCAGCTGTGAAGGTTAGAACTGGAGGAACCAAGGAATGTGTAGTTCGTTTGAGGACTTTTCGTGAAAATAGCGATGGAACAGCGACAGGCTAGCCAAATCCCGCCTGTGAGAGAGAGGTTGAATGGTGGAAAATAATTCGTCATCCACAAAGGCTTGGAGACGCTTTTGGACTCTGTTGAGGCTGGAGATATAATTCTAGGCAGACCTCGCCCATATATGACAACAGGACTCAATTTTGATCTGATCTTGCGCTTGTAAAGATAGAGGATAGAACGTAGATACATACTAGAGCGCTACAGGAGCAAACCATATATATATATATATATATATATATATATATATATATATATATATATATAGCCATCAAATATATATATATATATATATATATATATATATATATATATATATTTGATGGCTATATATATATATATATATAGAGAGAGAGAGAGAGAGAGAGAGAGATAGAGAGAGAGCCATCAAAATATATATATATATATATATATATATATATATATATATATATATGATTTGATGGCTAAATTGTCGCCATTTTATATTTTAATTTCACGCATGCGCATTATTTCATTTTGATTTTGTCGACTGCACAATATAGTACGTTCAGTTGAACACTGTCTGTGAGAAAAATAGCACCATGATACAGTTCACTCCCCCATGAATTCGGTAACGGCATGTTGTACTGCTTGGCAGTCGCGTCGAAACCTCCAATACGAATATTTTGTGTTTGTGTGTCAGTCTGAGAACTGTGCAGCAGATTGGGAAAGATTTCGATGAGTCTAATGGTGATTACGAAGGTGTTTAGAGGGATCACTAGTGATCGCGACGTTATGCCTCTTTTCATCATCCCACAGGGCCTCAGACTCAACAAAAAGGCCTACATTAAGTGCCTTGAGGATGTAGTGCAGGCTTGCGTCAAGAGAGTGACTGCTGGCAGACTTATGTCTCGCAATAGGACTCTGCACCATGCCATACAAGCAAGAGAACACAGTCATGGCTGTCAGGCAATTTCTGTGACCACATAACCCCTAAAATCTGGCCACAAACTCCCCAGACGGCAACCCCTTTGATTGTTATGTGTTGGGCGCAGTTGATCGAGAGACCAACACAACTCCTTGTAACACCAAAGATGAACTGAAGGCTATGATTATGAGAAGAGTTACACGAGAGTTCGACGTCGTCTGGAGGGCGTGGTTATAGCCAACGGCGCTTTTATTGAAGAAATTTACTCTTTCGTATTTCAGTATATTTTTGTTTAATTTTGGTAAATATATCAGGCTCAGTTTCTGTGGATATATGGGGAAGTTAACGGTTAAACCTCAACTTGAAGTGGTTAGGATCGTATTGAGGGGGAGTAGGTTATTTTTATGCTGTAGACTGGTTACACAAATCCATTACATGTATATAATGGCTAAAATATCTCACTTAGCGACCGGCATGTTTAGCAACCATGTCGTTGGAAGGTAACCCAGTCAAGTGATTAGTGGTTCTACTGTGTTTAGTAAATATTTTATCATAATATATTTTATGAAATTTTAAATAACTTATACAATGTGCATCAAAAGAAACATAAAGTGATGTTATATTTTTCTCCTGGTGCAATGGGTCACTTTCTTTTTGGAAGAGTTTGATAGATTTAATTTAAATGTAAACGTTAGTCTTAAATAAAGTCTGTATTAAAATGGATGCGTTTTGCCCAGACTGGTAAATTAAAGTTGAGCTTTCCTTGAAGTGCGATTTCGTGTGAAATCTCCCAATTGTTCACAAGAGCATCAGGTTATGCCTCCTGTGTACATCAGAGAAAACGAGCGGGAAAACATGGCGTTTATTGTGCTGGCTCTGTTCCCTGCAGCTCAAGCACAACAACACTGAACCAAACCAACTCTGATCTGACGGCATTATTTGTGCATATTCTATGTGCATTAATTCTCGCAAACTTCAAATACAAACGTTTCCTGTATCTTTTTAGGCGAAACTGATACATTGTCAGATTAATATAAAGAAAAAGAGAGGGAGAAGGGGTAAGGGTTAGTAGAGAGAAATGAAGAAGAAAATAGAGAAAGGCGATAAAAGACAATGTTTGGAGATAAATATAGGAAAAAAAGGGAAGAAATGTATGGAGAGAGAGAGAGAGAGAGAGAGAGGGGAGAAATCGAAAAAGACTGAAGCTGATAGAGAGCGGTGGGAATAAAGAAAGATACAGGAGGGAAAGAGAAAGAGAAAGAGAGATTGATAAAGACAGAGAGACAGAAAAAGAAAAATGAGATAAAGAGATAAAAAGTGAGAAAAAGAAAGAAACTGATGAACAGCAAGAGGGAAATAAAGAAAGTTATAGAAAAGAATGTGAAGAAAAAGGCCGAAGAAAATGAAAGAGTGGGTATAAGAAAGAGGTTGGTAGAGAGTGAGAGTAATTGAGAAGTAGAGAGATTGAAGTACATTAAAAGGTAGAATGAAGAAGAATGAAATAACAAAAACTTTAGATAAAAAACGAGAGAATATTACAAAAAAATAGAGAGAAAGAGAGAGAGAGAGAGAAAGAAAGAATGAGAGTCAATAACAGTGAAAGAAGGAGGGTGCGTGAAAAAGGAAAAAAAGCGAAAAAGAAAGACAGAGTGAAAGAAGCACTGAAAGAGAAACAGATTGAAGAGGCTGTGAAAGAGAAAGAAAGGGAGACCCTGGAATGGAAAAGAAAAATAAAGACTGACAATGGAAGAGTAAGAGGAAGAGTGCGAGAGTAAAAGATTCAGTAGGAGGGAAAAAAAGAGAAATACCAAAAGAGAAAGAGAAGCGGTGAAAGGTAAATAAAGAGGGGTAGATATCGAGTAAGAAATAGGAGAGAGTGGGAATGAGACAGATTCAGGGAATTAGAAAGAAAGAAAACTGTAAGGCAAACTGAAAGAGAGGCGGTGAAAAACAGTGAAAGAAAGAGAGAGAGTGAGATAGGGAGAGAGAGAGAGAGAGAGAGAGAGAGAGAGAAAGAGAGTGCTGAAAAGAGAGAAAACGAATATGTGTGAGAGAAAGAGAGATAGCGGGACAGAACGAGGTAAAGAAAGATGAAAATGTCTAAAAGCAACTATGCAAAAAGCGTAAGTCTTAAAGAGGAAAAATATTCAGATTTTGGATGAATGATATGACCCCCCCCCCAAAAAAAAACCGTTCTTAAAAAATTGAACAAATCATTTTTATATGGAAATGTTTGGAGTATTATATAACTGTAGAAAAGTAACTTAAAAAAATAAATCTACTGAGTCTGAGAAACCAGGGTAGGAATGTTGCGGGAAAAAAATTCTCTATCCGAATTTCAAATAAATAAGCAAGAATGTAAATTCGATTCCAGGTTTCTGTGGAAGAAAACGCAAAGCGGACCAAAAACGTTTCCCCCCCCCACTTCTCAATTATAACTTAAGCACAAGTTTCTAGAAAATCCACCTACACTTACAGAATCTAATCGATGTAAGCATTTATCGATATACTCAGACAACTATTCAATTAGGCAACCAACATTTCTATACACGCCTACAGGGCCACAAACGTTCTTTAACCTGTACAGAAACTCAGACACGCGAACACACATCTCCACATACACACGCATTTCAAAACACAATTCCACACATTCAAACACTTGCATCTACAACGCATACCTACTTATCTGTATGACATAAAGTGTCGATTTTCAATAATTCATTAGCGCCAATGAAAATGATTTTATATACGAAAGGTTGTTGTAAAGGGTTAGATGCAAGGCACATTTCCAAATATAAGAAGTACCCCCAAATAAGCAGTTTTCTTACCACGTACCCCCAAATAAGCAGTTTTCTTACCAAATATCACAAAATAAGCAGTTTTCTTACCGAATGCTTCAAAATAAACATTTTTCTTACCAAATACCCCCGAATACGAAGTTTCATTACAAATTCCCCAGAATAAAAATGTTTTCTTGCCAAACACCCCCAAATAACTAGTTTTATTGCCAAATGCCCTAAAATAAGAAGTTTCTGACCAAATGACCCCTAATAAGAAGTTATCTTTCCATATGCCTCAAATAAGAAGTTTTCTAACTAAATTCCCCAAATAAGAAGTTTTATTACAAAATGACTCAAAATAAGCAGTTTTCTTAAGAAATGCCCCCCCAAATAAGCAGTTTTCTTACCAAATACCCCAAATAAGAAGTTTCTAAACAAATTCCCTCAAATAAACATTTTCTTGTCAAATAACAGTTGCCCCAAAATAAGAAGTTATTTACTAGATACCCCAAAAATAAGAAGTTTCTTGCCAAATGGATCAAATAAGAAGTTTTTTTTTAATTAAATGTCCCAAATAAGCAGTTTTCTTACAAAATGACTCAAAATAAGGAGTTTTCTTTTTTATTTCTGGATTCGTTTTTTGGTCAGGCTGAGAACCTTTTAGCATGGAGTCAGAGGTGTCTGCTATATTGCAAACAGGTTCTATGATAAATCTGTCTATCCTTCTATTAGATTTGGTTGCATTGCATGAATTGCCGGATTTAGAACGATTAATGATTTTTCCGTATTAAGTTGGATTTGAGTGTGTATTATATTATATCATTTACTATTGTAAACATGGCCATTCATCAGTGGCATCTGACACTGAAGCAGGAAGAAACGTCCATTTGGCGTTTGGAGAAGAAATTGCTAAAGAGATAACGAGAGAGAGAGAGAAAGATAAAGAGAGAAAGGGAATGAAAGAAAGAAAGAAAGAAAGAAAGAAAGAAAGAAAGAAAGAAAGAAAGAAAGAAAGCAAGAAAGAAAGAAAGAACGGAAAAGCGAGAAAGGGAAAAAGAAAAATTTTAAGTGATAATTGACTAACGATTAAAAATAAAGAAGTAGAGAGAAAAGAGAGAGAGAAAGAAAGAAAGAAAGAGAGAGAGAGAGAGAGAGAAGGAAAAAGAGAGAAAGGGAAAAGAAAGGTAGTAATAAGTGACCAAAGATTAAGAATAGCGAAGTAGAGAGAGAGAGAGGTAGAGAGAGAAAGAGAGATGTTTAAGAGAGGAAGAAAGCATATAAGAAAAATGTATTATTGACAGATACATACAGAGAAAGTAACTAAAAGAGAGAGAGAGAGAGAGAGAGGGAGAGAGAGAGAAAGAGAGAGAGAGAAAGAGAGAAATGTTTTCAGAGAGGAGGAATGCAAATAAAAATAGCACAAGTGAGAGATAAAAGCAGAGAAAAAATAACTAAGAGAGAGAGGGAGAGAGAGAGAGAATGGGGAGGGAGAATCGTTTAGAAATTTCTGTTCTGAAATAAATTAAAAAAAAAGAAACAGTAAAAAGAGCGTTCATGAATACCCGAAATAATTAATTGAGGAATTTTCTGGAATATAAATCAGGAATAATGATTCGAACTCATTCAGGATAACTGCGCGTTCCTGCTAGCTGTTTCTTATTTTGTTGAATTAGGGAACTTGGAAGATTGGATATGCGACCACCATCATGGATTGATAAAAAAAAAGACAAATATAATCGTTCTGAGTTGCGCACATCATTAGTTTCTCACAACAAATTCCATGCATTCAGGAAATATGTTGTTATTGCTTGTAATGAGAAAAATATGGATGATTTACGATAATCATTATCGCATTATTTTGATTAAAATTGTTCGTTTTTCTTTAAAATATTATCCGATCTGACAATACTGTGTTAAAATTCTACATATCAATTGGTAGCCACATATCATCTATGAAATATTTGTGTGCATATTTTCTAACTGCACGAGCCATGAAATTAACTCTAAAAATCCTAAAGAACAGGAGTTGCCTCCCTTGGAGAGCTTCCTAAATGTCCAGATAGAGTAAAATGGAAGATCAAAGTTGTTGACAAAGTTTGGCTTTAAGTCAAGTGAATAGTGTTATGATTGGTCCGTAAAGAAAAAGAAGATTAGAGATTGTCACTTTGAGGAGAGATTCAATGGTTATCAGAGTGAGTATTATTATAGGAGAAAATGATCTGTGGTAAAGGTGTATTTGCGAGGATGGAAGAAAGATAGAGAGAAAAGAAAGAAAGAAAAGAAATGAAGAAGAAGAGAAAGATGGTTTGGAAGCGAAATTGGGAACAACTAAGGAAGATTACTATGAATGGAAGAAAATTATTATAAAACATTATTTAGTTTATTATAAAACAGAAGGTAGAGCAAACAGAGAAATAAACTAAAATATAGATAAAAAGTAGATAATTAAAGTCAAGTGTAAATGAAGCCAAAGAGGCGAAAAGGTTATTTAACGACAAAAAAGGCAAAAAAGATGTACAAGAAAGGACAAAGGTAAACAAAGAAAAAAAATATATATATATATATATATATATATATATATATATATATATATATATATATATATATATATATAAGTCTAAAATATAATGGAAGCCTTATTAATAAAAACAAAAAACAAACAACACTTAATATTAACTTTGAACATGGACATAATATCTTGACTGTCTTTTGAAAAATGAAAACATTTTATAAAACATACATACAACAAACTATTTCTTATTTAACAGTTAAAATATTTAACCCATGAAAATGGCTAAATGTATAGCGGAAAGCGCTCGGATAAAAAGAACATTCAGGCAGTTTTATATAATTTATCATCCGAACAGAAAAAAATTATTAGATTGCATGAGTAATTGTATAAAAAACTAAATAAAAGCAACTTGTCTGTAGTTTATAATGAAATATGCATGAAAGAAGGATTACTAGCTAAACACACACACACACACACACACACACACACACACACACACACATATATATATATATATATATATATATATATATATATATATAAAAGAAATATGTTGTAGTGGTTCCAACGAGTGAAAAGTATGTATATTAAAAAGAAGAGAAGAGAGGTGCCGCTAATGTTTTTGGTTGTAATGTGGATTTATTTAGAAAAAATATTATGCTTTGTTTTACATAATTTTACGACACGTGTTTCTGGTCTCGCGACCGTCTTCAGGTAAAAGTGGAGATTTCTACATATTATTAAAAATAATTAATTTTTCTTCATGTTCAATGTGAAATATTCTCGATATGAGACATTCTCTGTTTGTGTGTTGGTAATCCGAATTTCTTTCGAGAATTGTCAATGAAGAGTTCTGCGCGAAGGGTCATAAAACAATTATGGTTGGTCCAGCGAGTAGTTATCGGCATTTTATCTTTTAATGTTTTAGTGACCCCTATGTGCTCTTGGATCTGTTTCTATTTTGGTGTGTTCCTGTCAGCATGCGTGTATATATGCGTGCGTATATTTCCCCTCCATACATATACTGTCTTACTACGAGGAATTCGTAAACTTATTTGTATCTATACACGCATACACGCACATACGCACATACACACTATCCCACCACAATGGACGCGCACTCATATACGGGAGACACGAGGAGATATATATATATATGTATGTACACATACATACATACATTTATGTATGTTAATGCGGATGTTGACAACTTAAGAAGTACGTGTGTGTGTTCTGCGTGTGTGTGTGTGTGTACTGGTTCCATGTAGCTTGGGAAATAAGTGTGTGTGTGTGTGTGTGTGTATTGATTACTTGACCACTAATATTACCTATCTATCTGTCTATATATATATATATATATATATATATATATATATATGTGTGTATGTGTGTGTGTGTGTGTGTGTGCGTGTGTGTGCGCGCGCGCCCGCATGTGTGTGCGTATGTGTTTGTGACTGGTCATCTGATGAAGTATAATGCTTTGATCGTAAATTCTCATCAAATTATTCTCTTGAGTCATCTAATGTGTCTTTGGCTGACTTTCCATTTAGGACTGAGTCATTGTTGAATCATAAGCTTATAACACGTTCCATTTCATAGTTTCTGTTATAATTTCTAAACTTGATTCTCACAAAGCATGTGAACTTGATATTATCCCTGGCTTCGTTATCTCATCAATTTACAATTTAGCTGCCGAGATATAGCCGTAGGTTCTATGCTAACAGTTTCTTCTCGTACTTCTCGTTTGTAGAACTCCCTTCGGTTCCTTGCTTTCCAGCCAACATTAATCTGCAAAAATTTAAATGCAATCGCTATCTACTGTCCTCTTGATTACTCTTTTCTTTTTCTGCCCATCTTTATTGTTTCTGTTCCTTATTCTTCCACACCCTGTAATTACTTGGGTTTTAGTGGCATTGCTGCCTTGCTTGGGGTGATTTCGATTTAAAAAAAAATGATAGCAGAAAATGATTTTGAAGAGAGAGCTGTTGTCTATGAGGAAAAGAGAAGAAATGAAAAGAAGTTAACTGATGAGGAGGTAAAGAGAAGTTAAGATTATTCAAAGAAAATGAGAGAGACAGAAAGAGTGAATCTTCAAATTTAAATTCAGGAGTTCTTTCTTACTGTTTAGTGAGGCATTAAAATCACCAGAAGAAGCAAAGTTAGCAAAAATGGAGACTCTTTAAGTTTGATGGGAGGAATTAAAGAAAAAAGAAATAATAAAAAAAATCTGAAATCGTTAAATAGAAATGAGATCGAATTAAAAAACCCAAATAAACACAATCAAAAAATCGATATTTTCTTTAAAAAGTCAACTCTTGCTTCTTTACGTAAACGAACGTGTTTTTCTTTTCCTTTTTTTAAAAAAACAAAACAAAACAAAAGACAAACTAAAAAAGAATCAATTTTTATGAACTCAACTCCTTCGTTCATTTCTCCTTCAACGCAGTCCGAGTTTTTACCATCCGTTTTTTTCTCTTTTTTTTCACTGATTTTTGCCAGTTATTTCAATGGATGACGACATTTGCGTTTCACCAAATTTATCAAACGATTTTTGTGCAAAATCTTAAAGATCAAAGTAAACACGTTTTGACAAAAAGAGAAAGAGAATATTTTGGTATCGAAATTCCCAATTATTCCTTATAATAATTCAATCTTTAAAATTTCTGTTTGAATTTTATGAACTAAACAAAATTACATTCGTTTTATTCGAACATCATAATGATCGGTGTTTGTAGATGCCTTACTCCAACCTCTCGATCGCTTCGGTACATATCATATGCCGGATTGATTTTCAAGTAACAAGTCTTCAAGCATCATTTTCTGGCGTCATGTCGTTTTTTTTGTTTTGAATTTAAATTTTTTTATATATATTGTATATGTTTGTCCTTAAATTGAATAAAATTATTGTTATAAAGTTTGTATAACCCTCGGAGTTCTGGTTAATAATACTGTAAGGAAAGAATAGAACAACAGGTTGCGTGAAGAACAGGTTTAATCATTTGGGAGGCATGAGTAAATAATATAGTAATATAGTATAATTTGGTATATTTATTGTATACAATATACAATTGTGGCACATGACCAAAAAAGGGGAGGGCTTGAGACTGGTCGTCACTAACTATCCTATACCTAGTTAATCCGATCCACGACCCATTCACTCAATACAATTTTCACATTCACCATAAAAACTCGTCAGTCACCACTCAATCCTCCATACACCATAATACCGCAATCCTCTTAAGGGGGAAACATACAAAACGCGCCCCAAGCCATAAAAATTTAATGATAATAAATTATGAAAAAAAAATATCTAATAATCAAGAATGAGAGGGGCTGGAGAGGACCCAAACAATAAACTAAAACTCAACACAAAGTAAACTAAACGTTACTGATGTTAGTAGGGCCCGTCCAAACCTCAAAAAGGGTAGGCCGCTGTATTCTACCCCTTGGACAAAATCAAGAGGCTCTCTCGCTAAGGGAGTAGGAAATAAAAAGCTGACCCAGTCGAGATAAAAAGGGGCCAAAACAAACTGGGGAGGCTGCGAATCTCACACTGGATCATAAACAAAGATGTGGCCGGGGACAGGACAGGCACAACACCTACTAACATTAACTAGGGACACAAAAGCTTGTATAACCTAACCAAGGGGAAGGCTCCACAGGAAACCACCCCGATGTGATGTAGGTTGACCTAACAGAGAAAATCAAGGCTACCCCTGTTCAAACGACCCAAGCTCGCTTCAGTCACCCACCTTTCGCTAAAGACTATCGAATGCAACCGTTTTCTATCAGTTCTAATCTTCATCTTGAACTGATGCTCGAAGAATCGTAGATCCTGATGAGCAAGACGGCTGCCTCGCAAGATCTCCTCAATTAGCGTCGTCCAAATCACCATTCGGGCCGTGGCCAGCAGCGTCAGAAACACCATACGTTCCACCCCAGAATACGAGGGCGACACATTGTTACATGCGTATGCGCGATCCATGAGCACGAGTTTTTCTGGAGCGAGACGAGCCGTCAACTCGCCGACATGGGCGGATCCGGGAACAATGGTAGAAAACGTGCGAAGCCGTTTCTTCTAAACCAAGGCCACATTGTTCACAGTCTGGCCAATCCGCCAAGCCCCATATGAAGACCTTGTTATTGTGAGGCATCCGATTCCGAGACCTTGCGACCCACTTTTGGATGAACGTTCCTATGAGTAGATGTTTTACTCATACCGGATGGGCGAGTCCATGTTCAACAATTAGGGTAAAGAAGGTCGTTTGACTTTCTGCACAACAATTTTATTGATACTTATTTGTTTTTATGGTTAAGCTTCGTAGTATTTGTGATTTGCGTTTGTGGTTTATATAGAATAGCATTTATATATTATTGGCAATAGCTTAGATTAGAAATCTATGTTCATATCCTCCCAGGAAATCAAAAAATGGTCGAAATCGTAGAAAAATTAAATAAAAATATAAAAAAGTAAAAGAAGGAACCTTTTCGAATCCTTTAATGCGTCTGCTTAAAAGTTAGTCGTTATCCTCCTCCTAAACCAGTGGTTTCCAAACGATGCGGCATGCTTCATAGATGCAGTGGAAGTGGATAGCAGGTGAGGCGGAAGAGGATAGCAGGTGAGGCGGAAGTCGATAGCAGGTGAGGCGGAAGAGGATAGCAGGTGAGGCGGAAGAGGATAGCAGGTGAGGCGGAATGATTGAAAGAAGATCAAAGATTTAGAAACAAACCCCCAAAAATCATATGCCAAAAATAAAAATAATTTAAAAAATTTCAAATATTATGGATTACGTGTAATTGAGTACAAGTCTAAATAGTTATAAATAACTGTTGACCGATTTTATCATTGTGATATTTTGGGATTATATCAATTATTAAACAATAGTAGCAAATTGGAGAAGAGAGTTATCTCCCATTAATCCTCTCTCCGCTTTTTATTTTTAAAAGTACTTTTTATCACATAAGGTTTGGTGAGACGTTAGTAAATTATAATTCCGAAAAGGCGGCATAGAGAAAAATAAGTTTAAGAACCACTCTCGGAGGAATTATATAGCCTGGATATTCCAGCTATGTTAATCGGTTAATCTACATATCACTACAATCAAAATACATCGAAATATGAAAAATTACTGTCCAAATACACGGGAATATTATACCTATGCTATCAATATTACTAAGCTATTTTTTCACGTAGTTTTGATTGGGACAAATGCATTGTACCATCAATGATGAGCGTAAACATACCCACCTCAGCAAATGTGATGTCAAGCGAGTAAAGGCACATTATCACGCCTGTAGCAACAATGTACTATATGTGTAAACGCTTCCAGAATAAATGTCTTTTGAGCGTCCCAAGCAGATGTTAATCTGAAGCAACCAGATAAAGACTATGAAATGGATGTAGTAAACCATCCTAAACACATTGCTGGAGCCATTCTTTTGCCAGGTCGGTGCGGTTACTTTGTCGAGTAACCGAATGACACGCTTGCACAAACGTAACTTCTCCCAGTCTGTCGAGTGTTTTCACAATGTCAGGCTGGCATTAACGGTCTGACGATGCGGTAGAAAGAAGGCGAGTAGCACAATTTTCGCTTCCCAGAAAACGGTTGTGACCTCAGTTTTTTTCAGTGACTGAACTTTTGTGGGGTCAGTGAAGTGGGATGCTTACAGGTCATGGGGTCAAACGTAGAAACGTCTTTTAGCAGCTGAGTAATAAAAAGAAATGCTTGTCTCGCATATGTCTCGGCAGTGATCTGGGGACATATTCTTCTTTCTATCTATCTATCTATCTATCTATCTATCTATCTATCTATCAAAGTATTTGTATTTTAATAATTCTTATGTAAACTTATATCACACACTTGAGATTGAGATAAAATTAATAAAAAATAGATAGACATAAATATGCATAAATGGTTCTCGAATGTCTGAAGGATTTATATATATATATATATATATATATATATATATATATATATATATATATATATATATATATTACATTAGAGGCGAAAGGATAAATAATTTTCTGTAATATAAAATTAATTATTGATAATTTTCACTAAGCTCTTTGTACTTGTATTTTTGTATTTCCCATTTCTTCATTTCTTAGGATAATTGTTACAAGCGATATTATTTAGGGAGCGAAAGTAGAGAAAACGGTTGTTGTTTAGTGAGAAAATAAGCGAGAAAAAGTAATTAATTTACTAGCCTTTTATAGACATCATTAGAGACAGCACTAAATAAGGAGTGGGTGAAAGAGAGACTGTCACTGAAGAGCAGAAATTCTTTTGCTTGCTTTCTAACCGTATTAAACCAGAATAAATTGAATGAAGTGATGCTATTTGTATTGCATGCGACTGAAATCCAAGACTTGCCTATTTAAAGGACTTATAGTCGGACAGATTTACTCGTAACATTTATATTATTCGGTTCTGATGAGTATATAGTGAACCTCTGAAAATTTTAGCGTCACTTAAAAAGTTCCTTTTTTTTTACTGACCTTTAAAAGGTTTTAACACATGGCGAGTATTCTTGACCACTTCTTAAAACCTCGATTCTGTCACATGAACAGAAAGATTTTGAGAAATTTATACGTGGAGCAAAATATAGGTTTTGGGATTGAAATTAAGTTTTCATCTGTTTCACTGACTTCAGATTTAATTTTATATGTTCAAAATTATCTTACTAAAGCTATGTAAAAATGTTCTTGACAATATTGTATATTATTTCATTAAAAATGGTAAATTTTGTTAAAGGACATTTAAAAAAACACTACAAAATAACACCAACATTATGCATGAAATTTGAATTTAAATACTTTTAACTTATTTTTAATATTATATTAAAAATAAGTTAAAATTATTTTAACTCAAATTTCAAAAGAGATGAAAAACAGCTTTTTACGAGGGGCTCCTTTCCCTTCACAATCTTGGTGTTTAGGTACAAGTCAGCCTTCGCCATTGATGTACATATATTCAATCATGTTTCATTAAATAATATTGACATATTATGTCTATTTATTTTTATAATAATCCTTTCTAGTTCTCTAATTAGCTTTTTGATGTTATGTTGAAATTCATCAAGGAAGGCGCCGTAGTTCTTTTTAAATCAAGTACTTTCGATCTCCCCCGAAATCATCCTCAGGTATGAATTGCGAAGATAAACTTAATGGGACTGTAATTGTTGTGATGTTGAGTTTTGTAAAGACGCGTGAACGCGCTCCTTTATAATTATCTAATAAAACATGCTTGGATGAAGATATGGTGTCTAAATACACACACACACACACATATGTATATATATATATATGCGTGTGTGCTTGAGCGTTTGTATTTATACAACAAATATAAACTATATATATGTATATACATATATATATATATATATATATATGTATATATGTATATATATATATATATATGCATATATATATATATATGTATATATATATATATATATGTATTTTACACACTTTATTTACAGAAAAGAAAACATTTATACGAACACATACAAAATTAAATAAAAAGCGTAATCGTAATACCTTTTTAGTCGTCTTTAATGAAACTTGTCGGAGTTAGCTCCTCCTTAGCTCCTTAACCCTTTACCAGGGGTCTCTCTCCCCTATCTATAAATACTGGCTGACCCTTCGCCTCTATCTCCTTTTTCCTCAGGCCTTCGGCCTCATATCACCTCGCAGATGTGAGATCTCACAGATACTGCGTTTCCCAAATGTTGGGAACACACTAAGAACAATACACGTACGTACGAACACTC